GGGAAGGAGAGAGAAGTCCTGGATAAATCTACTAAGCCAGGATTTAGATATTGGAGGTGGTGGTGGTTGGGGGGAGGGGGGATGCCTTGAAACTTTTTTTTGTTTCTTTCCTTCCAGATGCTCCATGAGGCAAGAAGAAAGACTTCCGTGAATAAGGGGTGTGCCCATGAGTTCTTTAGATGTGGCGCCAATCAAATCTTGTGCGCTGATTCGGCCATTAAATCCCAAGATAGTTCCAGCAGTGAGTACTGAAGGTGCAAGAGAAGATCATATGTTCTATGGTTTCTTCAGTATCCAAGCCCACGGAGAATAAATTTTGTTCCACTCTCAACTTTGTAGTGTCTTCAGTTGAGCATATTTCGTGTATTAAGTTTGTCAGGAAGCATTAATCATCCAGAGACCTTGACCTACATAGTGTTTTTTGATTTCCAGAGCAAATAGTAAGCCTGATGCACTTCAATCTCTCTGAAGTAGAAGACGTAGAATTGTCATGAGTATGCGGTTGTCTATTACGTGTCACATCCGCCGTGTCCACCGAGTCTTCAAATGCCTTACAAGAAAGCATATGAAACGTCGCTCCAAGTGATGTGTTGCTCAAGCACTCCTGCATTGAGGCATCTTCATTTGGGGGAAGTGTTTTTCCCACTTACCCATTTAAATTCGGAATGTGTTTGACACTACCAGGTGTGTTGTTCGATACTTCTGCACATGTTCTTTAAGGCTCCATGATACATCTCTGATGTATCGATATTTTTTGTTATGTTCATGCTATATGCATACCACTTTTACATAGTTTTGGTCCATATTTTAAAATTTATTGGACTAAAATATTAATCTAGTGGGAACTCCTAGTTGTTTTTTAGTGTTTTTGGATTTAATAAAAAATGATATTTCCGGGGACCAAAAAATAAAAATAAAATACGTCATTGTTGGACATTACTAGGAGGCACTATGGGCAAAGACCTACCATAGGGGAGGCCCATGGACCCCCTATGACCTGAGCCTGGGCCTCGTGAGCCACCCGCGTGGGCCCATATGACTCCTTTCCGGCGCTTCTCGACGCCCATGGATCTATATATACATGAAAACCATAGTCCTATATTTTATGAAATGTTTACGCCGCCGCCTCGGGAGATTCCAAGGTAGAGAAGAAAAAAAATCCTGATTTAGCACTCTGTTGGAGGGGGTTAGATTCAATACCGAAGGTGTCTCTCGACCTTCGGGGTTCATAAATACTAATGACCAGACGGAAAAACTTCCTCCCATCCAGGAGGGAGGCGAAGGAATAAGGAGTGGGTCCTTCCCTCTCTCTTCAGATGGTGTCGTAGTGTCGCCGGGGGAACCATGTTCACCGCCATCATCTCCATCAACTTCACCGGGTTATCATCTCCATTGACTTCACCATTATCTCCATGACCAAATCCTTCCTCTATGTAGGGTTCACTCATCCACAAACTTATGGATCCCATAATTAAACATGGTGGTTCATACAACGAATTATTATCCAACGATATATTGTGTTGTCATTATTAATAATACAAGTAGCATAATGATAATAAAAGAATCTCATAGATGTTGAGGTCTCATGTGTAGTGAGGTGGGATGTTTGCATGTTGAGATAAAAAAAATAGTGGGGATCAACTTAATAATGCAAAACTTCCTTCCATGCATGTTGTGGTGGGGCTTTGATGTGATGCATGTGTGCATGTTAAGGCATTCGAAGTAGTGTGGGGATCAACTATTTGAGTACATAAGATGTGAATTGTGCGTTATGATATGGTGTTATCGTCTTATGTTATATCACACTTGAAGGGATAGCAATGTGTTGCAATGAATATGCACATGGTGGCCGGAGTGACTCATATTACCATACCTGAGTATATATATGATACAAATCATGTCAGATATGGAGGACTCATAGGTCTTAATGCGATGGTTGACTTTACCTTAATGAATTCTTAGTATTTAGGATGTTTGCTAAGGGTTTCAAATTGTCCAAGATGGTTCATCATCCCCTCGAGATCAGCTTGTCCTCACACACTTTTGAACTAGAACCGCACACATGGTTTGCCATCAACAAAACCCCAAAGAACTGTGATATGTTTGGCGGTAAATGGAACCCAAGTGCATAATCGATTGCAGGCAAACCAAACCTAGGAAACAGAGTACGCCTGCCCTAGCTTGTTCCACCTCTGTCAGTCCACGCGTCAAGTTTGCGAAGTGAAGCGTTATTACGGGGTCCATTTGCGCGGAAAGGATCTAGTCAACACTAAGCAGTGGGTCTTCGGTTTCCTTCATCGAGCTTCACCCAATGAAGCTACTGCCATGGTTAACTATTTGGCATATATGGGAAGCTGAAAATGATGCTAGCTAGAAACTATGGAGAAATCTTGCATCCACGCAAAGTGGCTGCTAATGCTAAAACGTATGTGGAACTAATTGTGCAGAACTACCTAAACCTATGAATGCGAACATGTGTGATACCCCCTCTTCAACTTTTTGATGGCTCCGCTACCGGCATACATGTTGGTGATCAATATAATGTTGATGATGCACTGTTTAGACTTCTCGATGGATGGGAGAGGGTGTGGTAATACGGAACCACCAGTGTTCATTTGGTGGCTTGCCATGAGTACATTGAGGAGGTTACCATGCCACAATTAGCTAAGGGCAGTGGTGCATCATCACTCACTCATTCTCATTTGTCAAGAGGGCTTTCAGAAGGCATACTTCATCTCGGATTGATTATCCATCACTCATATTATTACTCCTCCAATAATTTTACCATTGGTTTGGTGATCACTGACATCAGGGGTTTGGCGGAGAGTTCCTCGTTTACCGGTTTTAGTCATGTCAATTGTTTGTTTGAGTGTGATGGCACATATTTTATAGCTCGGTGTCGTTCGCAATGTAACTCCGGATTGCATCCATGAGGCTCTCTCTCTCTCTCTCTCTCCCTCTCTCTCTCTCTCTCTCTCAAAAGAACTTGTTTGGTCTATAGGGGGATTGAGAATTCATAAGGAAATAGTAATGGACTTGAGACTCCAACTCGAGTTGAAAAGGACTTATTTTAGTGAGTCAATCTTAATCCTTGATCATAACTTACGTTAACTTCTCTTGTCTAGTTCCTTGTCAATTCCCACGAACCAAACAAGAAAATAGAGTTTTTCCTCAAATTCTCACATATAATTCCTATCATAAGGGATTATGATTGAATCAGAAGGAGTAGGCTTAGTACGCTGTGATGAGAAACGCAAAAACTATAACCAAAAGGGACTGCCTTCTTAACAAAAAAAACCAAAAGAAATCTCGGGACCGAACGGGCGAATATGGCGATTGCTAACCATATGCGCGCGCAACGCGTATCGCGACCGTCACTTCCTTATGTGGATCCGAGCGGCCTGGCCCACCTGGTCTCCGGAAGAAATCCCTTGTACGATCGAATACAGTCACATCACCCCTGCGGCTACCTATATCTCTCCCCCGTCCTTATCCCTACCCGTGCCCTCCGTCCCTGGTCAATCTGTCTCTCTCTCTCACTCACCTGGATCGACACCGTCGTCGCCGCCGCCGGCTCCGTCCCCCTCCCAACCTCCAGCCGTGCATCTCCACCATCAGGCGAGCGCTCTCCGTCCTCGCCATGCCTCCTATATCGCCAGATCTATGGCAAGATGGAGCAGGCCAGGCCGCCTCATCCCCATCGAGCTCGGTGGCAGCAAGATCTGCGCGCCGAGACAGTGACACGTCTGGGAGCTCGAAGGCAAGGCGTTGTAGCAGCGATTTATATGTGTTGGCAATAGATTTGTTTTGTTCCCCGTAGGAAGTGGGGTTGCTGTTAGATTTATCTGGTTTATTATTGTCACTGATTTGCTAATGAGTGATGAGTGCGGTTGCAGATCGAGGATTCCTCTTTGTATCGATTTTTTCTACCTTTGTTGTTTACCACTCCGTTTCCCAGATCTGACCGTAAGTGTACAAAGCTATATCTTTTCTTGAGCCCATGTGACTGAAACCGATATTCAGGCCAGCAGCCATGTCTAATCCATTCTCAAGCTTTCCAGATGGATGGTGTCTCCTGTATGATGAATTTATCTTATTTTATTTGCTCTCCATCATTTTTCAGGCAGTGTCCTCAGTTTTGCCCCAACACTAAGCAAAATGGATTGATCTTATTGTATAACTTTTTCATATAATCATTATATGAACTGCAATGAAAAAATTGGGGACCTTTCTGTTCGCTATCTTTAATTTTTGCCTAAAAGCTTTAATAAGGCAGTGTCCGAACTTTATCACAAGTTCAGTAGAACTTTTCTGTAACTCACCATAATTTGTAATAATTTCTGAAGAACTTTATGAAGGTTGTGTCTGAACTTTGCAACAAATATCAGAAGGACTTTTGAGAAATGGTTTTGACAATAAAGTTTTAGAGTTTTGACCCTCATGAACGTCTGCAATATAAAGTTTTATAGTGTTGACGATAATGTTCAAAAAATGAGTTAGTAAAGTTCTTTGGATTTTCCAGTAATTTTCATTTTTAATATTAGTTTTCTAGTAATTAAGTAAAGACAGTTCAGCCCATTTAGATAAACCCGTTTAATTAACCCAGACCCTGCTTCCAATGTCTGCATGTACGCCAAAGTGCTAGAAAGATTGAAATTTGAATCGTCCATATGCCATGACTGAGTAGTACTTCGACGGGTACAGTCTAGAAAGATTCTTTGTCCCACACCGGGCCATAGGTGTCTGAAGAAAGCAGGTGTACATATGAATACAGAGAATCTGTGTGGGGGCAGCAACTTGTTGATTTGACATGCATGCTGATGGGTGGACTAGATATGCGGCGCGCGCAACGAGTTAGACAAAATCCGCGTCCCCGAACGGGCCTGCTTTCAATGGGGCCCTCGCCGTCACCGCCGATCTGGTGCCGATGCCGCAGAAGAAGCGCCCCCACCGTAGGAGGTATCCTCACGAAGGATCCTCCCGCCGGCGCCGTGGTGAAGATGGTGCATCGTTGTCTGGATCCCTTGTCGAATCGGATGGGAGAAGCAGCAGCAGCACAACTTCCGGCGCACCGTTGCCGGAATCCCTCGACCAGCCGTCGTACACCCGGCCGGCTCGCGAGTACGAGTCCAGGTACCATGAGATGCTCGCCTCGCGAATCGCCGTGCTGCCTCTACCAGCCTACGCCGACGACGAAGGCCCAGATCTCCCTTCTGCTGAAACTTTCGAAGCCCTCGTTCGTCCTTATTTCTACGATGACGAGCACGCAAGCCCACAAGCTCTTGAGCGGACCAGATGATGCGCAGAGACGAGATGGAGATTCTGAGGCTGAAGTTGATTCGTCCTCCTCACTGATGGATGATATCACCGAGGAGGATTTCCAGGCAGACGATGCACGGCTCAGGTCTCACATAGTACATGAAGTTGACACCGAGGATAGATTGGATGAAGAGGAGGCGAACAGGATCAGTCACAAGTATGCACGATACCGCCTCAAAGCTTGCCTGGTTAGTCTCTCTCATTTTCAATCTAATGCTCCTCCTGCATGCCTGTCAATCTAATGTATCTACCTGCAGTCATATAGTATATACCTTACTCATCTGTCCTTCTGTGTACGTAGTTGCTCAAAGGAGTGCCTATCGACGATGCTGCATTCGACTCCCAGTACCCTCCAGACCTTCCCTTGGACAACCACCGTCTTTACCTGGAAGATGAAGCCTTGGGCTGGTGGTTTGACTTGGGCACCTCATCACCCGCGACCTTGAGCGACTATCAGCGGCTAGTCCCTTGTAATGAAGTAAGTATGTTTGTACTCCTCTGTAAACAAATATAAGACTTTCAGCTCAGTAATGCATCTAGATTTCTTCTTCTCTTTACCTTTGAAGTTTGAATGGGTGGCAGCAATTACTTGCCTAATCTGTCCTTTGGAAGTATATATGAACACTTGAGGCAATATCAGTGCATTTCCTTAATTCTTTTTAGCATGGCTTTATGCGAGCTAGTAACCCCCAGAGATTCTCTCTATCTTGTTTTTTCCGGGGCGCCAATAGTCAAAGTGTCTGGTTGTTGTTTCACCCTCAAATCATCAGGACCACCCATTTTCTGAAACTGCCTACCACTGGATGCATCTTGGCTAGTCTGATCACTGTTTAGGATATCACTTACCGTTAGGGGCTTGAGGTTCTTGGCGAAATGCAAAAAATAAAGCTATGGATGTCACTTCCTGCCGAGATTAAGTACAGTTTAAAATTTGTGTGATTCCGCTAAATCGCGTAAAATCTCAGAATGTGTGCCCCGTACAAGACCTTCTTCCCCGAGAATTGTTGGCGCATGGCTTTTCATCAATTAAAAACATAGAGTTCCATATACTGATGCATTTTTTGCAAGGAGCAAGCTTGTTTCTTTTCTTTCAAAAGAAACCAAGAGGTCCATGCTCCCAAAATACGCGTGCCATCCCTTCCTTTGTATTTGTAATCAGGTTTTTTGCCTGATTTCCCGAGTGCCCATATTTTTTGACATGTTCCAGTACCATGTTTTTTTTTGGAATTTCTTGAGTGCGCAAGTACTCAAATTTTCTTGAAGTGTGCAACTACTTGAATCAGTAATAGCCGCACACACATAATCCTAAGAGCATCATTCCACGCCCTTATGTCCGCTGCATGTTGCTTCCCTTCTTTTCTTGGTGCAGGGGGGCGTTGAATATGAAAGTTGGAGTGAATACCGAGAGTTTTATAGCACCCCTGAAACTGATAGAGATTATCTGCTGTACTGGGATACGATTGTGAAGGATCTGAAGGTATGCATGGTGTAACTATCGGCTGCTCAAGTTTAGAACTCTGCTCAGTATTTTGTTTTTTGTTTTTGTTTTGTTTTTGAGACTAACTACCATTTGGTCTTGACAGTGGATTGAAGAACATGCGCTTAAAGGCTATATGGAGGTACACACCTATACGACCTCTTAAAACAATGTAATGACAACTAGTCTCTATATGCGCATAGTAGCATCACAATAACTTGCCTGTTCTACTATTTAGTGGTCTGAGTTGCGTGGAAAAGCTTGGCGCCAAGCAGTTAGGATTGCTACTAGGTTCGAAAACATTCCTCTGAGGCTAGCTACGTTGCACGGATACTTGGATACGTATCGGATACGCGATACGGGGATATGCCCGATACGTCAATTTTCTAAAAACATGGATACGGGGATACGTTTATATATAGATGTTAAATATTAATTATTACAAATATGAAGAAAAAAAATTAAGGAGCTTCTAGGTCAAAGCATGCCTCAATAAGATTACCCCTTTCTTTTCTTGCACTTAGTCCACTTTTATTAATTGGCCGTGAGATTTGACCAGGTTTGCTGTTCCAATCAATGCATCGACTCTCTCTTGCTCACATAAACTCACGCCCATGTTGGGAATCTTCAAAGGCGCCTTTATTATTGAGGGGATTTCACGTCGAACAAGGGGTTTCAGGTATCCAAAACGTATCGCAGAAGTATCCTAGGAGTATCAAACATTATTTTCTTTTTTTAATATCAAAATATCGAGGGATACTTACGGGATACGTATCGGGAAGTATCGGGGCAGTATCCGAGTATCGGGGCAGTATTCGACTGGATACGCGCACTTTTTGAAGTATCCGCGCAACGTAGGAGGCTAGCATATTATGGTTTCCAGGTATGGTTCATCTGTCCCTTGCTTATTTAGATTGCAAGCTCTGTTTATGGTTGTGTTTGACAATTGTGGTCTTTTGATTAAACTAAGGAGTATACAACGAGCAGATATCTCGCGTTCGTGAAAGATCTTGACTCTGTGTTTTTTGAGATTTGGAAGCTGGTCAATCGGCAGCAGGTCAGCATTTTCTACATCATAACTAAGAACAATGTCATTTTATTGGTCGGATCTGTCAATGCCTTTTAACCTTGACGTTGTTTTCTTCTTCGTTGGACAACGTATAGATGTCTTTCAGAGATGCTATGGAGCATGTGTATGAGGAGAACCCATTTCCATTACGCAAACGTGATTTGGAGCACGAGCTGAGTCACCCTGTCTCGTTGGGATTGGAGGAAGAAGTAAGTTTTTTTTTACTTTCCGTTCACAGACTTCCTATTTGCTGTTTCATTAGTTAATTAGTTTATCTCTTCCGATGCTAACTGCTTTGATACCTCTCCTTGTAGTTTCGACGGTGCACGGAGGGCATCAGCAAAGAAGTAAGTACACTGTGGTGTGGTCTCACATACATTGTAATCCATTATGTAGACCATATGCTCACATCTGATGTCTCTCCTTCGTGTGTATGTTTATATATAGGTTCCAGAGTGGATAGCGCGTGTGTTAATTTCGCAGGAAGTTAGTTTCAAGGTATATATGTTGTATAGATATTGGTAGGCAATATTGTTTCCCCTTGCGGGTTCTGTACGTAATAGCTCATTCTTTCCAATTTCAGTGTGATCTGCCAAGGAGGTATGTGCAGTACGCCAGGAAGAAGCTCAAGATAGCAGAGGTCATAGGATTGATTCCCAAGGCCAAGATAACAGCATAGTTTTTTTTTTTTTTGAGACACCAGCGTAGTTGTGTATGTTGCTGGCGGCTGTAGTGGTCTTTTGCAGTCAGTTTCAGAGACTAAACTGTGATATCGCAAGGTTAGCTACTCCATGTACGGTTAAACGCCTATGTATCTGAATGTATGTGCATGTGATTTAAGTGTGTATCCTTGTCGCAAATTGATCATCTTTTTACCCAACTTAAACTGTGTCCCTACATTCAGCCCGTAAATACATTTGATTTGGTTTGTAAGGACTTGTGGCATGCGGTTTGTTTAGGTGTACTGGCCCTATTCTAAAGAAAAGATAGTTTTTAGTTTTGAAAATTTCTTATTATTTCTCTCACAAGTGCGTATAGATGCTAGCACATACAAGTTGATTTTCTGAAGAAATGTGCTTATTTGCAGTATAAAAAAGACAGATATGCGAAGTAGCTCAACACAGTAGCAAAACACTTTTCCATTCATTGATAATCTGACCCGACTTATGCATTATTAAGAGAGGGGGATTAGTCCTGCGCAGGCAATTACCAGCAGGTGTGAACTTCCCATTCACAGAAAGTCAAAACATTTGACTGTTTTCCATGTTTGGCACCTTTAGAAAATTATGTCTAAAAGTTTTAAAATCAAGACCCAACTTTGGGAGTGTCCCCAACTTGAAGACTGGTTCAAGGAGCTACTGTTGGTGTCCTGAACTAGGGATACTCACCACGTTGTCTTCCGACCAGGTAGGTTATGCCGAGGTCCCTTATGGCGATTCACTAATTAATGGTGACTTCGGGCAGCCCATGAGACGCACACAAGGGGGACTTGGCGCACAAGACAAGGACTCCTCTAAATTTTAGGCTTCCGGTACATTATATAAGTTGAGGTCAGGCTAGTTGATAGATCATATATTCCAGATCATTAGAGTGATACACAATAATCTAGTGGTAGATACATGTACTTTGTACTATTCCTCATATGAATACAATCAAAAGCTGGAGGAATGGTATTATCTCTTCGAGAGAACCCGAACCTGGGTAAAATCATGTGTCCACGTTACCATCCCTCCAAGACGACTAGCTTTGGAACCCTATCTCGAGATATACCGGATTTGGCACCGACAATGCGCCTTTCTCAGAGGAAAAAGTGAAGTCTGCCATGTTTGATATGTAGGGCGACAAAGCCCCGTGGCCGGATGGGTTCACTGGTGCTTTCTTTAAAGCTTGTTGGAACACTGTCAAAGGTGACATCATGATGGCCATCAACCATTTTGCGAGCCTCCATGCCTATCATTTTCACTGGTTGAACTCCACGAATGTCGCCCTCATTCCGAAGAAAGACAGTGCCGAGGACATCACCGACTTTCGCGCCATCAGTCTTATCCATGTAGTTGCTAAGATCATAGTCCAAACATTGTCATGTTGCTGAAATATAAGTTGTTTCTATTGGTAGTATAATGTTCTAGTGAATAATGATGTTGCTTAATTTAAAGAAAAAAGAGGGCATGAAACGAGCCCTTGGCTAAACAAAATGTGTGTGTGTGTTCATCATTTTTATGTGATCGATCCATGGGTGAATCCAAACTAGTGCTTGGGGTGGCTACCCTACTAGTGCTTCGGGGCGGCCAATAGTTGTTCAGCGGAACGACCATGAGGGAGAGGGTAGGTTGTCATCGGCACGGCAGTAGATGGAGATCATTCATGAGGGAGGTGTGTCGAGGTGCGATGCTAGAAGACTGCTTCAAGACATCGTCTGAGGAACTAGATGAGTCAAGGAGTCGTACGAGTTTGTACGTGCAGTCATCGTTGTGGTTGTGTCCAAATGCTTGTCTTTGTAGGGCTTCGTTGCGTTGAAGCGATGTGCAGGTGTTCTGTGAGTTATGTACATGTCATCATGGAGTGTCTGGGTTGCGGTTAGTGTAGGTTCGATTGGATGCCGAAGGTGAGAAGTTGTAGGAGAAGCCATCGTAAATAGTAGATGAAGAATCTACTGCAAGCAAGTACAAGAGGAGTATGATGTGAACCAAGTGCAAGGCAACTACCAAACCATTGACGGTGGCAGAACATAGCAAGGCAAGAAAAGTATGTTCCATCTTTTGTAGTGTGATATTCTCTCTGAAAGAATCAGAGTCAAATGACGAAAGGGAACTTTATTTTTTTGTCCTTATGTATTTTATTGAAAAACCAAAAGAAATCTCGGGCCTACTTTCATCGGTCCGCACTCTACAAAAGGATATGCCACAGAATGATCTGAGAAAAAAAATACTTGCACTATGCAACTAAGATAAGTTTGCAGGGTCTTCCGCGCGATGCGGCCTAGGCCCAAGCCTGCATGAGCCACCCGCGCGGGGCCCATTTGACTCCTTTTCGCCGCCTCTCAACACTCCTGGATCTTATATACATGAAAACCCTAGTCCTATTTTTTAGAGAATGTTTACATTGCCACCTAGGGGAATTCAGAGGTGGAGAAGAGAAAGACCTGATATGCACTATGCTGGAGTGGGTTAGGTCCAATATTGGAGGTGGATCTCGACCTTGGAGGCAATGAACATCAAGGAACAGAGAGGGAAATTTCCTCCCACCTAGGAGGGAGGCCAAGGAAGAAAAAAGATAAGAAGTAGGGCCCTTCCCCCTCTCTTTAGGTGGTGCCGGAGTGCCAGCGGGAGGGGAACCATCATCATCATGTCCGTCGACTTCACCACTATCTCCAATACCAAATCACTCCTCTAAACAGTGGCTCACTCATCCAAAAAACCTCTGTAATCCCATAATTAAACATGGTGTTTGATATAAAGAATTATTATCCAATGATCTATTGTGTTGTCATTATGCCCGAAAAGTTTTATTTTGTCATATGGCACTGGTGACATGTTATGATTGATATGATTTGTGTTTTATGATACGGTGATATCCTCTTATATGCTTATGTATGAGTTCACATGTATGTTCTATCACACTTGAAGGGTTAGCAATGTGTTGTGATGAATTCTTAATATTTTTGGATGTTTGATAAGGGTTTCAAATTGTTCGAGACGGTCCATGATTTGGCGTGAAGTGAAGCTTATGGGATTCATTGTCGCACAAAGGAGAGTTAGTCAACACTAAGCAGTTAGTCTTTGATTTATTATGAAGCTATCACAAAGTCTCCCCGCCCCTACTCTCCAACCAGTTTGTCTCCGGTCTGCAAGAAAACGGACGTCCGAACCAGTCCGCGGACCGATAGGGTACCGTGTTGGATGGTAAAATGTGTTCATGGTTTGGGGTCGCCCTGATGTAACTATCGATTGCATCCATGAGTCACTCCTTGATATTCTCTCTCTCAAAAAAAAATTGGAGTCAAAAAGAGTTGGCGAGAGAAGAAAAAACATAACCAAAAGAAGTTGGCGAGGGAAGGAAAAACATTTTCAAAAGGAGTTCGCTAGAGAAGAAAAAACATAACCAAAAGGAGTTGGCGAGAGAAGGAAAAACGTTTTCAAAAGGAGTTCGCGAGAGAAGAAGAAAAAACATATTCAAAAGGAATTGTCTTCTTCTTTTTTTTTGAGGGAAAAGGAATTGTCTTCTTGAGCAGGCCAGATGATGTCCATGGAAATGTTTTTGAGGGAAAAGGAATTGTCTTCTACCAAGAGCCCTCGCCGTCACTTCGATTCCACCGTTCGATGCTGCAGAAGAGCTCCGCCGCGGCCGCAGGAGGTCTCCTCGCCGGCGCCGTGGTGAACAAGGCGCTTCTTTATCTGCCCGCCTTGTCGAATCGGATAGCAGCAGCGTGACTTCCTGCGCACCGGCGCCCGAACCCCTCGACGAGCCGACGGACACCCGGCCGGCCCGCGAGTACGAGTCAAGGTACCATGAGATCCTCGCCTCGCGCCTCGCCCAGCTGCCCGTGTCCTTGAGCGACTATCAGTGGTTAGTCCCTTGTAATGAAGTAAGTATGAAGGCCTAAAACGTCTCATATTTGTTTATAGAGGGCGTATATATATCCATTACTTCCAGCTCAATAAGGCATCTAGATTTCATCTGTGTGCTCATGCAGCTGGTAACTAGTTTCTTCTTCTCTTTTCCTTTGAATGGGGGGCAGCAATTACTTGTTTAATCTGTCCTTTGGAAGTATGAACACTTGAGGGAACATCAATGTGTTTCCTTAATTCTTTTTAGCATGGGTTTATCAAGTAACCCCCGAGTTCTAGGGGCCTGAGGTTCTTAGCGAAATGCAAAAATAAAACTATGAATGCCACTTCCTGCAGAGACTAAGCACAGTTTAGAATATGTGCGCGTCCAATAAATTGCGGAAGATAACATAATTAATGTGGGCACCGTAGAAGAATAATACAAAAATTACACCTTCTTCCCCGATAGTTGTTAGTGCATGGCTTTTCATCAATTAAAAAGAAATAGAGTTTCATATACTGATGCATTCTTTGCAAGGAGCAAGCTTTTTGTTTCTTTAAAAAGAAACCCAAGAGGTCCATGCTCCCAAAATACGCGTACCATCCCTTCTTTTATATGTGTAATCAGGTTTTTGCCCGATTTCCAGAGCACACCATATATATTTTTTGACATGTTCCATTACCATGCATGTTTCTTTTTGGAATTTCTTCAAGTGCGCAAGTACTCGAAATTTCTGGAAGTACTGGAATGAGTAATAGCCACACACGCATAATCCTAAGAGCATTATTCCACGCCCTTATGTCCGCTGCATGTTATTCTCAGGGCAGCAGTAATATGTACTATGCTGCTTCCCTTCTCTTTTTTTTTGGTGCAGGGGGGCGATGAGTATGAAAGGTGGAGTGAATACCGAGAGTTTTATAGCACACCTGAAACTGATAGAGATTATCTGCTGTACTGGGAAACGATTGTGAAGGATCTTAAGGTATGCATGGTGCAACGATCAGCTGCTCCAAGTTTAAAACCCTGCTCAGCATTTTTTTTGGGGACTGACAACCGTTTGGTCTTGACAGTGGATTGAAGAACATGTGCTTAAAGCCTTTTCTGAGGTACGACTATATGACCACTCAAAACCTTGTAATGACAACTAGTCTCTATATATGCGCGTAGTAGCATCACAATAACTTGTCTGTTCTACTATTTAGTGGCATGAATTGCATGAAAAAGCTTCGTGCCAAGCAGTTAGGATTGCTGCTAGGTTCACAAGCATTCATCCGAGGCTAGCATATTATGGTTTCCTGGTATGCTTCATCTGTCCCTTGCTTATTTAGATTGCCAGCTCTGGTTATGGTTATATTTGACAATTGCGGTCTTTTGTTTAAATTAAGGAGCATAAACAGAGCACACGCTTTTATCTCAAGTTCGTGAAAGAACTCGACTCTGTGTTTTTTGAGATATGGAAGCTGGTCAATGCTCAGGTCAGCATTGCACACCAGAACTAAGAATAGTGTTATTTTGTTGATCGGATTTGTCAATGCTTTGTAACCCTGTTTATGCTTGGTGATGTTGCTCTTGGACAATGATGTGTTTCAGAGATGCTCTGAAGCATGTTTATGAGGAGAAGCAGTTTCCATTCCGCAAACGTGAGTTGGAACACGTGCTGAGTCACCCTGGCTCGTTGGGACTGGAGGAAAAAGTAAGGTTTTTTTTTTGTTCTTTCCCGTTCACAGACTTTCTATTTGCTGTTTCATTGGTTAATTAGTTTAACTCTTACGATGCAAATTGCTTTGTTCACCTTAATTTCCTTGTAGTTTCGACGGTGCACGGAGGGCATCAGTAAGGAAGTAAGTAGTGTGGTGTGGTGTCTCGCATACATTGTAATCCATTATGTAGACCATATCCTCACGTCTTATGTCTCTCCTGCCTGTCTCTCTCTCTCTGTGTGTGTAGGTTCCAGACTGGATAGCGCGCGAGTTAATTTCGCAGGAGGTTAGATTCAAGGTATATATGTTGTATAGTTATCGGTAGGCAATATTGTTTCCCCTTGCGGGTTCTGTACGTAATAGCTCATTCTTTCCAATTTCAGTGTGCTCTGCCAAAGAAGTATGCGCAGTACGCCAGGAAGAAGCTCAAGATTGCAGAGGTCATAGGATTGATTCCCAAGGCCGAGATACAAGCCTAGTGTGTGTTGTGTTGAAATATATTGCCCACCTCCCTCCATCAGTTCGGACTTTTGGAGCAACTGGCTGGAGCATGAATTCAATATGGTAATCAGAGCAATTTCCTCTTAGATCGAAGGTCGCATCTAGCTACCTTCCCGCGGCCGAGATCATGTCTTCCTCCGCAGCCCTATCTGCCACCACGAGCGCGCTTTCCACCTCCATGGCCTCCACCTTCGCATCATCATCTAGCAGCAGCTCTATCCCCCTCGGACCGCCCCCACAGGAGAAGCTAACAAGAGGAAATTTCCTCTTATGGAAGACCGTCGTGCTCCCGCAAATCTGAGGCGCACAGATGGAGCATCATCTTGACGGGAAGAGCCAGGAACCGCCGGCCACCCTCACCATCACCAAAGAAGGAAAGGACGAACAGGTCGTCAACTTCGCCCGAACCCTCTGGTACGCGCAGCAGCAGCAACTCCAGGGGTATCTGATGGGGTCTCTGTCCCGTGAGATCCTCGCTCAAGTCGCCACCCTTCAGACCCCAGCGAAGGTCTGGAGCGCCATCAACGCCATGTTCGCCGCCCAGAGCCAGAGTCAGGCCATCAACACCCGCATCGAGCTCACAAATTTGAAGAAAGGTAACATGTCCATGGCAGAGTATCTTGGAAAAATTAAAACTCTTACAGATGAAGTTGCATGCTGCACCGGAGTTCCTCTTCCTGATCCAGAGATAGTCTCCAAGATCATGGAGGGTCTTGATCTGGACTACAACCCAGTTGTGTCCACCCTCTCTGCTAGGGTTGAGCATGTCTCGGTTCAGGAGCTGTACAGCCAGCTCTTGAGCTTTGACGCTCGCCTCAACCTCCTCAGCGGCACCAACATCAGGCAGTCCTTCGTCAACTCGCGGTCACCAGGGACAGAACCGCAACACCAACGGCGGCGGACGCGGCCGCGACAACTACCAGGGCGAGGGTGCTCGTTCTGGTGGTGGCAACTACTCCGGAGGTGGTGGCTTCAACAACAACACAGGAGGTGGCGGCTTCAACAACAACAACAGCCGCCGCGCCTCCTCTAATCGCCGCCCTCGCTGCCAACTGTGCAAAAAGTCAGGCCATGAGGTCATGGACTGTTGGCACAGATATGATGAAGACTTCGTCCCCGACTCTTGTCACGTTGCTGCAGCCATACATGAAGGAGGAGGAGGAGACGGCGTTTGGTACGTGGACTCAGGCGCAACAGATCACGTCACCAGCGAGTTAGAGCAGCTTGCGCTTCGTGAGAGATGCCATGGCGGCGACCAGATTCACACCGCGGCTAGTGGTGGAGGTACGGATATTTGTCACATTGGACAAGCTTATATTCATTCCCCCAACCTTAAACGTGATCTAGTTCTTAAAGACGTTCTTCATGTCCCGCAAGCTGATAAAAACCTTGCATCAATGTCTCTCCTAGCCACTGATAATAACGTCTTCTTTGAAACTCACCCTCGTTACTTTTTTATAAAGGACCGGGCAACAAGGGAACTTCTTCATCACGGTAGATGCGTTGGAGGGCTCTACCCCATCACATCCGGAGCACTCAGTCGCAATCGTCGTCAAGTTTATTCTGCCACTAAACCCTCCTTGGAGAGGTGGCATCAAAGATTAGGACACCCATCATCAATCATAATCAAGCAAGTAGTCAATAAAGACAAACTTTCTTTGCCACATAGTCAAAATAGTGAGTCAGTTTGTGAAGCTTGTCAGTGTGCCAAGAGCCACCAACTTCCTTATCCCAAGTCAAATAGTGTGTCTCATGCTCCTTTAGAGCTCATTTTTAGTGATGTTTGGGGTCATGCCAGAGATTCTTTTGGAAGAAATAAATACTATGTTAGTTTTATCGATGATTATAGCAAGTTCACTTGGATTTATTTACTCAAGTATAAATCTGAGGTTTTCTCTATCTTCCAAGAATTTCAGAAACTTGTTGAAAGGCACTTTGACAGAAAAATTCTAACAGTCCAAAGTGACTGGGGAGGGGAGTACGAAAAACTCAACTCTTTCTTTCGTAGCATAGGCATTCAACACCATGTGTCTTGTCCTCATGCTCATCAACAAAACGGTTCTGCCGAGCGCAAACACCGTCACATTGTTGAAGTTGGCCTTTCCCTAGTTGCTCATGCGTCTATGCCTCTAAAATATTGGGATGAAGCGTTTATTACAGCAACATATCTCATTAATCGTCTTCCAAGTAAAGTTATTGGCAATTCTACACCTTTGGAACGTCTCTATCATCAAAAACCAGACTACAACTCTCTCAAAACTTTTGGGTGTGCTTGCTACCCCAACTTACGTCCGTATAATCATCACAAACTCGACTTTCGTTCCACTCAATGTGTTTTTCTAGGCTACAGTAATCTACACAAGGGATACAAGTGCCTAGAAATTTCCACCGGACGTATATATATCTCTCGAGATGTGGTTTTTGATGAAACTCTTTTTCCTTTTGCCAAGCTTCAACCCAACGCAGGTGCCCTCCTCCGTGCCGAAATAGCACTTCTTCCGGATCTTGACACTCTATCTGGTCACGGGGGTGAATTATCTAATGCTGACCATGTGAACAAATCTGCAGAAAATTGCAACTCTAATGATATTTGTACAAATGCAGTTCATGATTTTATGTGGCCAGAAACAAAGAACGCAACCGTTGCTGATCGCGAGGAGGATTCTGGCGACAGGCGATCTGGCACGCGATCCCAAGCGAATCCTGGCGCCAGCGCCAGCGCAATCATTGGCGCACGATTCGAGAAGGATCCTGCCCAGCTGCATGCGGAGGCGACGTGCCTGGTGACCGACAGCGACCGCGTGGAGCCCACCAGCTCAGGCGGGGCCGGGGGCGAATCTCCGCACGCCACGAGCCCGCAGCCCGCGGAGGTGGCCGACCGGGCGACCGCGACTGGGCCCAGCCCACGGGCCCCGATGCGCACGTCCACCCGCGAGGAACCTTCAGGCGACACGCGGCCCGGTCTGCTGGTGGACCGATCCCGAGGCGGATCTCGCCTGCAGAAGATCTGGTGCGCGATCCCGCGACCGCTGGGCGTGTCCAGGACGTTGGATCTTCTGTGGCTGCCTCCTCTGCTGCACAAGTTGTTCCCCGGCGTCATACACGGTCACAATCAGGTATTACTAAGGAAAAAGAATACAAAGATGGCACCATTAGGTATGATAAAAAACGTGCTTTTCTCACTACTACTGGTGAACCAGTTAATCTTGTTGATGCTCTTGCTCACAAAGATTGGAAAGAGGCTATGGATAGTGAGTATGATGCACTTATGAAAAATAAAACATGGCACCTAGTACCATCAAAAAGTGGAATGAATGCCATTGATTGTAAATGGGTGTACAAGATAAAAAGAAAGTCAGATGGAAGTATAGACAGGTACAAGGCCAGATTAGTTGCTAAAGGCTTTAAGCAAAGGTTTGGGATTGATTATGAGGATGCTTTTAGTCCAATTGTCAAATCAGCCACCATTCGACTTGTCTTGTCTATTGCCGTTTCCAGAGGTTGGAGCTTAAGATAGCTAGATGTTCAGAACGCGTTTCTTCATGGTGTTCTTGAGGAAGAGGTGTTCATGCGGCAGCCACCAGGTTATGAAAACAAAGGTACACCACATTATGTTTGTAAATTGGATAAAGCTCTATATGGTTTAAAACAAGCCCCAAGAGCTTGGTATTCACGATTGAGCATGCAACTACAACAACTTAGATTTGTACCATCCAAGGCAGACACATCCTTATTCTTTTACAGTAAAGGAAATGTCACTATTTTTATGTTAGTTTATGTTGATGATATTATTGTTGCTAGCTCGAGTTCAAGTGCCACTACTTGCTTGCTTAAAGATCTTAAGTTGGAATTTTCCCTCAAGGACTTGGGAGATCTTCATTACTTTCTTGGGATTGAGGTCAAACAGATAAGAGATGGTATACTTTTGACACAGGAAAAATACACAGCTGACATACTCAGAAGAGTAGGTTTAGAAAAATGTAAACCTGTGAGTACACCTATCTCAACTTCTAAAAAACTTTCTGTTGAAAGTGGAGAGCCACTTGGATCAGAGGATGCAACAAATTACAGAAGTGTTGTAGGTGCTTTGCAATATTTGACACTTACAAGTCCTGATATTTCTTATGTTGTCAACAAGGTATGTCAATATTTGCATGCTCCTAGCATTACTCATTGGACTGCAGTCAAGAGAATTTTGAGGTACCTTAAGTTTTCAGAGGGACTTGGACTTCAAATTACCAAGTCCTCTTCTATGCTTGTTACTGCCTACTCTGATGCAGACTGGGCAGGATGTATTGATGATAGAAGGCCAACTGGTGGATTTGTTGTATTTCTGGGATCCAATCTTGTATCATGGAGTGCAAGAAAGCAGGCTACAGTTTCTAGATCGAGTACTGAAGCTGAATACAAAGCTTTGGCAAATGCCACAGCTGAAGTAATGTGGATACAGACATTACTTTATGAACTTGGGATTGAGACTCCAAGAGCTGCCAGACTATGGTGTAATAACATTGGTGCAACCTATCTGTCAGCTAATCCTGTTTTTCATGCACGCACAAAGCATATTGAGGTTGATTTCCACTTTGTTAGAGAAAGAGTAGCTAGAAAGCTACTCGAGATTCAGTTCATTCCTACTGGAGATCAACTGGCTGATGGATTCACAAAACCTCTCACAATGAGGAGGTTAGATGAGTTCAAGTACAATCTCAACCTTGGTCGAAGTTCATGAGGTTTAGATTGAGGGGGAGTGTTAGAATATGTATAGGATAGTTTCATTCAAATTGTAATCTATCCCTATCTCTCTTTTCTTTCTTCTCCTCGACAACCTCCTGTACCGAACCGTCTCCTCCTGAGATCGATCTCTTGATCTCTTCTTGTACTCCAAGGCTTTGCCATTATATATAAACAAGCGGCCCGAAACAAAGGGTTCAACGCTTCCAACCCAATTTACATGGTAGCAGAGCCTAGAGGTCTTGAG